CTCCTGTGCTTCCAGGGCCAGGAGCCGATCCTGGCCCAGGGCCCCCGGATGCTCGCCACCTCTGTCAGCTCCTGGTGGAGCCCCCAGAACACCAGCCTGCCCAGTGCTGTCGGCTTCACCTTCTCCTTCCACGGTAAGCCAGGCAGGAACAGCTTGTGCAAAGGCCCTGAGGCAGGGAAGGCAGAAGAATGCAAAGCAGGCTGGGAAACGGACAGGCTCTGAGGTCCGCCCATGGAGCGGGGGCTTCGTTCACAGGCAGTGGGGAGCCACCGAAGGTGCCTGAGGAGGGGGAGAGTGTGATCCAAGGTGTGCTTTGGGAGATTTGCAGGAAGGGAGCGGTGAGGGTGGAGGGGGCCAAGTCCCATCCGGAGGCTGCGGGAAAGGCCCAGGTGAAGGAAGATGGAGTCTGAACAGGATGGGAACAGAGCGAATGGAAAGAAGGGACTGGCTGTCAGGAGCCAGAGGATGTATGTCCCCATTTCACAGAGGGGGAAACCGAGGCACGGAGAGACACAGGCCCCCCCACCCCTCAACATGTGCCCGTCCCCATTTGACCACCTAAGTCTGCAGCCCTGGGGTGCAGGGGACCCAGACGCAGGGCCTGGAACCTGGTGTCGGGGAGGCTGCGGGTGTGGAGTCCCCAGAGCCACCACATGAGGCCCCCCCAATCCCTCTTGAAGGGACCCTGGCACGGGCCCTCCTAGCACCTGTGTGTAGTCAGCAGGGCCCCTGGGTGGGGGTGCCCCATGTCACTCGGCAGGAGGTGGCTGGAGGTTCCTGGCTGGCCGGCCGCCTCTCTGAGTGAGTGGGGAGCCCAGCCCACCTGGTAGAGCCTCCGTTTTTCCTTCCATAAAATGGGAATGAAGCTTTCGGAGTAGTGGGAGGACTGAGAGGCTCATGAGTGTGGCAGGGACCTCAACCAATAGCCTGAGGTGGGTCTGTCCCCCCAGACCCCCCCCACACGGCCTCCCACAGTGCCTCAGTGGACATGTGCGAGCTGAAACGGGACCTCCAGCGGCTCAGCCGGCTTCTGAAGGCTCCGGGGAAGATCCCAAGGAGGCCCTCGGCCACCCCCGCCCACTCCGGCCAGTGAGTGTACACCTGGGCAGGCGGGGGACTGGAGTGGGAGGCCGGGTGAGACCTCGCCTGGGGCTGGAACTTTCTTCTCGTCTTTCCATCTCCTCCTGGAGGAGCTGGGATTCAGCCTGCAGGCCACGCCCCACCTGCCTGAGTGTGGGGCAAACACCACTCCTGCCGTCCAGGACAGGATGCCCGAGCCCTCTCCCCAGCAGTGAAGGATGGGCCCATTTTACAGTTCAGCAGACTGAGGCCCGGGGATGGTAGGGCTGCTCCAGGGCCTCAGAGTAGGTCCGTCCAGGCAGAACTGGGCCCAGGACAGGCCCCCACCCCCACCCCGCTTTCCTGTTTGCCCGGATGTTCCCGCTTCCTCTCTCCCTCCTGCAGGTCATCCTCTCTGTTTTTCTCTCCTGCCCCCTCTCTCCTCTCCCCTGACCCCTTTCCCTCTCCCCGTCTGCCTC